GATTTGATGAAATCAGTATACATCATAGGAGAGTATCAATTTAATCAGCAAAGACATGAAATTATTTATTTTGATAAGGTAAGAATATTTTCTTTCAAAGCTAACAGGTATTTTATTATGACATGGTTGAATTGTTTTATGCTCATGTTATCACCTTGTTATAATATTAGTGTATATGAGTCCAAACAAGACTGAAAACATGAAGGCTTTGACCTTATCAACATTACATTTCCCTCTCTTATTCTGCCTTTGATAACATCAGTTTTGTATGTCTAACAGACGTAATTTTTCAGCTATTTCTATGCAGAAATTTTGAAATTTCAAAGTCTTGCTTTGATTTGGGATGAAAAAAAACATTGAAAATGAGTATTTCCTGAGAAACACTGATTCCGAGTTTTGACAAGCTGCAGCAAACTTGAAAATCACTGATTTTTTAGCTCAGGGATCAGTTCATCTATTTCTCTTGGGAGAAGACTTAACAAAACTGCAGTTAACATGTGGTCTATACCCTACCTTCTTTGTTAGAAGTGTATCTAGAATTGAAATCTCTCAAGATCATCCAGTTTCTCCTTTTATGCATTGTTAGCTGGTCCTATAGAGCCATCCATCCAGTCCTCTGCTCAGGTCTGGTGGTCTTTTAGCCAAGTGTCGCAAGAGGATTCAAGTTCTGGGAGAGTAAATCGAAACTGAAAAATGCTACTTTTTGAATTAAGCACTATCCATCTCCCTTTTTTAAAATCCACTCTGCCCAGCTTTAAAATTTTGTAGCGGATTTGTATGATTACATCTCTGTGGATGGATTCACTCTCCTAGAGCAGAGACAAATTAAATATGTGCTTGTCTGCTATGGGGCAGTTATACTCTATGTTTTTTAATCAATGTTCATCCTCTTTCTACGTTCCTTTTATGGGAAAATGTTAGAAGAGAAAAATCTTAGGAAGATCTTAATTGCTAGAAGCACTTACTAGACTCTCCTTTTGGATTCGTATAAGTGACCACAGTACATGTAGAAGCTAGCCTCATCTACTGCACACTGTCTGCTTTTATGTCTTTGGGAGCTATTTCTGCCTGAAGAATGTGTTCCTAGAGTACATTTTCAGAGGCCCTTATTCTACAGAACTGGGTACAACTTTCTACCCAGCCTTTTTCAGAGAAAAACCAAAACAGATTGGACAAAACCAGTCCTGCAGAAATTCACGAGTTTTGCAATCTCTCCATCGTGATTAAAAATGAAAATTATGGAAAAAATTGAATGCTTTGTCACTTCAAATAAAAATGACATTTCTTTCCTACAGTCTCAATTTTACTTTTAAGCCAATAGTTCTAAAATGCTCAAATACACAAATAACATTTTATGCCAGGTCAAATGAAACATTTAATCCGATCCAAGACTTTTTTTGGACTTTTTGGTTTGCCAAATCTTTGTGGGTCAACTCAAAATATTTTATTTATTTTCTTGAATTGACAGCAAACAAACAGAAGTGAACCAGTTATTCACATCGCTTTAGTTGAAAATGATCTGAAAATATAGAGAGTTTGGTCATGAGAGTGAATGACCTCCAGTTCCAGATATATTCCTTCTTGGCTATCTTTCCCAAAAGATTTGATTTTGCCTTCCCAGCCTAAGTTTTACTTCCCTTGTGTTTATTATTTGATAAAGTGCCAGCAAACGTACTTGTACGAGATCAGCAATACACCAAAGATTATTTTCTTGCTGTGTTAGTTGGATTCTTAAGCTGCTTGTGGCTTTTTTGATGTTGAAGTAGGTTTTATTCCACTGTCTGTCTGGGCTATATCACTGCTACAACTTCAGCGCCAGAAGTTTTGTGCACAGGCGAGGCTAAAGCATAATTATAATTGTAGGTATAAGGATTTTTATCTGATGCTCTCCCCCTGGTTAGGCTTATTATTTCTGGACAAAAATCCAACCAAATTAATTACTGATGTAACAATCCAACACTGCTGTATGTAACATGCACTTAACTTATCTGCAGGACTTTCATTTTAAGCATAAAATTCAAATATTAAACGTGTTTCCCTTGACAGGCCCCCTGATAAGTAGAAGATGCCTAGGAACACAGTAGTACTTGTGCAGATGCCAGAACTGAAGCCCTGGCTGGGTACGGCATGACGCAGCGGGGCAGGTTTGCGTCGGCTCTGGAAGCAGAGCTCAGGCGTTTCTGCAGTCCAGATGAGTCCATTAACCTCTGCTGACGCTCAGAAGCTCTCAGCTAATACTGCTTTCCTAAACAATGATTTACTTTGAGCTATCGCACACTGTTGTATTTTTCTGAGAGACTATTTAGGATGCAGTGATTAGGAGATATGTTTTCTGCTCCCTTGTAAGGCGAGGCTAGGGGAGATAAATGGAATTGACTGACTGCAGAACAATAAACTTCTCAGCTCCTCTGGCCTTTCTGAAAAGGAGGGAAAGGTTTGCTCACCTCATCTACACTTCCCTCTTTAACCTCCCTGTGTAACTGTGAATAGCTGCAATATGTCAAAAGCCACACGTGCCAGCGCAGGCAGCAGCTCAGGTATTAAGTTGAAGGAACATTACATTAGCTTTTTAGCCAATTAACATGGCTGTAGGGGGGACCATCTGGAATAAATCTGCGAAGCAAACAGTTCACAGAAACCCAGCTGGCAGCTCTACGGATTGTTGTATTTGTATGGTACTTCATTAGAAAATAAATATATATCTTCCATCTCGAGCACGAAGCAAAACAGTATTAAACCAGATCTCTGATAGTTAATACAACTGTCTCTACTAAATGACACATTTGTAAGAGTTGTGTGAATCACTGCAGGGAAAAGGTTGCAAAAACTCTAGTGACTACAGTTATGTGTTGGCACAGCCAAAACGACTGCTCCTGAGTTAATGTGGGAATGTATTTTTCTCTTGGTTTGAGGTTGCAAAAGCCTGCTTTGATAACATTGCTAATATCAGCTAATGATTCAGTATGCAGAGAAGGAGCAAATCATGCATCAGCAAACTGGAATAAACCAGTCAGCTTTAGCCTGTTTCTGGAACTTCATACTTTGCTGTGTTTATATTTTTCTCCATTAGAGACCCACAGCAGGAGCCGTAAAATTTGTCATCACTAGATTTATTCCTGCCAAGGGTTTGCTGAACACACTAGGCTATAGCATAGAAATGTTGGACCTGGCTAGTATTGATCCTTCAAGGATTAACCATCCACCCTCTTCCTCCTTAAGACCATTTCTGTGTTCAGAAGATGCCACAGGATGTACAGTCAGAACTGTTAAGATGGACAAAATCCATCTTTGAAGCTGCAGTAGCAGGAAGTGCTGCAGTTTCCCGCCGCAGACCCCGAGCAGCTCCGCTCCGCTGATGGACACCTCTACAAGGACTGGTGTATCGGCTAGCAGAGCTCACCGCACCTCTGCCCGGCGGTGGGAGCAAACCCAGGACTTTGCAGAGCTCCTCCACATTCAGGCTCCTGGGTGAGCCATGGCAAAGCACAGGGAATGCGTTTATCAGCCAGCTGAGGAATCAGCGGTGGTAAGCGTACCAACACAATCAACAAATATGTGGCTCATGGGAAATGCATATTTTATGTCAGAACAAATGGCATTTCTGCAATCGATTTGCATAAGTATACAGGGGAACAGATTACTTGTCACAAAAGCACCTGCTATTAGAAATAGGGTATTTTCAGACTAATCAAATTTTCCTGTTTTCTATACCAGAAAATGTTAGCAATTAGTAGTAATCGCAATAATATAACTAGTTGCAAAACATTCAAACAAACTTTCACTTGCAAAGTGTTCAGATATGTAAATAACGGCACTAGGTATGAGTATAGGATTAAATCTGATCACTTTCAGCTGGTTTAATGCCACCTGATCTTTTCTCAAGAAAAAGGTCTAATATGGCTAGGAAGAAAAATACCACATTTAGCACGGCTCTCCCTAATTAGCCCTGCTAAGAAACCATCAGATGGAGCAGAGCACCACACTTCTGCACCTAGCCAGCTCTGGATGTTTAGTTCAGGTATCTTTATGCAGTAGTTCATTGTGTTGTAGAGACATAGCATACACCATAATTATGCTTATCAGCCTGCTCACGCCATAATTAATTAGGGAGCGGTTCTGAAGACCAGGGATTTTGGATATATACAGTGATGACAATTAAAATGTTGGCATTTGTCAACAGTTACTTCACCCCAGGCACTACCTAACGAGCCACAGTGCTGTATACAGGGAACTGAAATAACCATGGTAACTCTGGGTATATAGTGACATTTTAGTGATCACCACCACCTATCCTCAGGCCATCACTTGCAAAACTAAATGGCCCATCAAGAAGCAGATGAATAAAGTGGCATCCATACAATGCATGAAAAATGTTAAGCACTTTTAGGGCTTAAAGCCATTTACATCTACCTCAGAAGGGAAAAAGGAGAGATAAACATAATACAAAAGCATGTATTATGAAGAAATAATAAAACTACCATATCCTACTGTAGCAACTGCCACTAAAATGTCAGTATCTACCAATAGCTAGCACAAATTGGTATCTAAGATACTGAAATTATTTCCTATTTTAAGTGTAAATGCCTCTTACTACATACTGACTTTATAAATGGCAGCACCAGTATCAAAGGTCTTTCATGCTCAGTCATTGCCAAAGTGCAGTAGAAAAACTATCAGTAATAAAACACAGCAATTCTCAAGCAAAGAGGAGGATGCAATACAGTACTTTATTAACACTTTCATACAATCTGACCTGTTTTTAAAGAAAAAGATGGTG